TCACATATTGACACATTATATCACATATTGACACATTATGTCACATATTAACATATTATATCACATATTGACACATTATATCACATATAATCACGATTAATCGACGACAGACCGATATGAAAAAAGTCGATAAAACGACAGAATNTATATTGACACATTATATCACATATTGACACATTATGTAACATACTACCACATACACTATTAGTCCGAATTATTCGGACGTTTTATCGACTTTTTTCATATCGGTCTCTCGTCGATTAATCGACGACAGACCGATATGAAAAAAGTCGATAAAACGACAGAATAATTCGGACTAATACACTATGTAATATACTACCACATACACTTTGTAACATTTCGACAAATATGGAAGTTTACATTGTAGACAATTGGACCACACGCGTTTTATTGACAACAGTGAATATGGCCACATTTTAATATGTATAAACATGATTTATTTTATAAGATTAATCACTCTTTTTGCCCCGGATGTTAGTGCGCATGTGGTCTTAATCTGGGAGGAAACCGGAATACCAGGAGAAATCCCGTTTGAACATCCTGGCATTGATACTTCTTAAGTATCAATGACAGTCCGTCTCACCGTTTACTACAAAAAAACAATATATCTACAAAATATCCGAAGATAAATCAAGTAGTTTGCAGTTTATGTTTTATTAAGTTTTTAAATAGATTTGCCATTGCTCTCAGTTCCAAAAAGGCTGTTAAAATAGTTCTCGTTTATGTTAAAGTGATTTGTTATGTTTTTCCTACATATTATTTGTTACACTAACCAAATAAATTATCCAATGTGTGTACAGGTCCTCATTTATCTCTAAAGCAAACATTTAAAGTTTTCATTAAATGTACATGGATTCTCTCAAGATCTTATGATAAAAACAGAATCTTGGTGAATTTTGTATTCTATATTTACATAAGAAAGAAAAAACGACATCTATATTATCCCTATTTCTGTAATTCCTCGCCTCTACGAGACTATATTTTATTGATACCAGACCGACAACCAAGATAGATATGCTTCATCGTAATTTATTTTCGGCGGACTGTAAAAAATGTGATGGATGCTTTACTCATGTTTACAAGGGGAGTCTCTCGTTATAGGCAATAGTTGTTTGTGAATTAAAGCTGAATAATGTTCTATTCAACTTTTTATGTAAACCTTAGTCCTTTTAATGTAGTTGTTGATCTTACAATTTTTAAAGGGAGCCAATCTAAAATCAAATCATTTCTAGTCTCAAAAATAGATCTTCAATCAATAAGTAATACATTCTCCGAATCATTAATTTGCTTTTCCTAGCAGTAACATATCATTTCTACTGCTTAGCTTAACATGTCACCGTTCATTGCTTCCCTAGACGAGCCTAATACAAAACCTTGATTAAACGGATAAATGCGTTGTATTGATACGTGACCTAGTTCCCATCGTTGACATGTCAGTATATATACCATGACTTAAGATCTTCGATTGTTGTTGACCCACGTGCTTCCACAATTTGACAGGACACAGCATGATAGGTGTCACATTGGGTACAGGAAACACGAACTCGGTCTCTGTGCGTGAGTTTGTAATCGTTTCTTATATTGATTATTTTTGTATCGTGTGCTGACGCCATTGCATTCTTGTCTGACTTCTTTTCATTTTAGACTAAAAGTTCAATTTTAAAAACAGGCTATACATTTCCGTTAGATTCCCCTCTCGAAAATACTAACTTTTGACTGATTTTGACCAATACTTGTCTTTCCAGGTAAAAAGGAGATCAACTCTGTGTTTCGATCGTGCAGCACCAACTGGGGGAACCAGTGTTATGATGACAACAAGTACATCACATGCAGAGGCTCGTGCAAGGGAGAATACTGTAATAACAGCACGGTGACAGAGAAGAACCGCTTCGACGAGTTGTGTGATGAGTTATCTTGTGAAAAATCGGGTTCGTCAGATATCCGCGGCAACCTGATATCCTTTCTCATCTGGCTAATAATATTCGTGTGTATGTGAAACTTTGGGTCTGACATTTGGTATGCGTTCTATCTTATTAGACATGTCTGTTGGTTTGACGTCTTGTGCGAATTCCATTTTGTTCGGAACGTTTCATTATAGTCAATAACTTGACCGACGTGTTTCGATTTTGAGTGGTACTTATGTGATAGTTCAATATATGTTTGACTATCACCTCGTAAATACTGTTAAATAACCAATTTTCCATTGGTAAATATTTTCGCAAATTACAGGTGCAAGCATTGATGTACATATTTCCAAAACACCATTTAGTGGAATTATATACTTCAGTAATAGCCATCAATGCGAAAACATCACACTTATTTCTCTTTTTATTTATGTCATCATCTTTGTTTCAAACTGCAGTTATGAGAATTAAAGTCGACAGTTAGTGTTGTTGTTGTCATAATTTTTTAACGTGAACATATTTGATGATTCAATGTGTAGATGAATCACACTGGATCATGGCGAAGATCATTTTTTTCTGATGGTCTACCAATAATAGTAATGTGTAGCACTTAACCTATATCCCACGCGTTTATGCAATTAGAAGAGAAGCAGCAGATGTCCATGCATTAATGATTGATCATATTTATCTAAGAGAGAATATAGTACGAGCTCCATTATTTCTTCGTCCAAGTTTCCTCTGTCACTGACACCAGACTTGGACATTTTGACAGAGATCTGTCAGCATTTATCTGTCAGAATGTCTAATTCTAATGTAGGGGCTAGAGGGAAATCGGACAACACTAGTTCTGCGAGCAAACTCCCAAGATTGGATATATATAATTCAAGCAATTATCAAGAGTTGATTCTCTGATGTATTCCATAACTCATATATATTTAAGTAGAATCTACCTCGTGGACCGAAAGTGATGGCTCAAACATCACTACAGGACAAAATGAGATTATTATAGTTAAACAAAATAAAACTATTTTAATGCATGAATTTTCAATTAAGACTGTGTGTTTTTTGTTGCTGTTTTTTTTTTAAGTTTTGTACCGAAAAAACCCAGAATGCAACACCTGCTATTACACTGCTTGCTCGCGAACCAGGCATCACCGTTGAGAGAATCGTCAAATAAATGCCTTCTAGAAAGTGATAAAATGCCTTGATAGGTCAAATTGTGGGACTCCCTTGGTTTTCTTTTTCTTTTTGTTCTTTAAGCTCTTCAGCCTTTTCTTGTTGCTCTTTTCTTCTGACGTCTTAATATAATTCACTACCTGACTACAGAAGGACGACACATTTTCTGATCGACAACTAAATGCGACAAACCGTTCCTGTATGATTGTCAGGTAATTTACTATCATGTTAAGGTATTTTGACGACTGCTGATGACTTTACAGAATCGCGTGAAGGTCTCTGTTTGTCATCTGTCAGTGGAATGGTTGATATATAACGTCAGTCACTCGTTATCTTCTCCTGAAGCTAATGTGGCTGTGTGCGTCGGACGAATCGTTCTATCATCCGAAGTAACAAGCCTCTTTTTATTTTGCATGTATTGCCATTTTCCATTTCATGTCAACAATTCTGTTCATGACATTAACTAAGGTCCTGTTTGATGAAGAAAAATAAGTACTTTTTCTATTGTTTTCCTGTCTCAATGATCTTGCTGCTGGTAATGCTCTCGTTTCTAATGGATAATTCAGAGTAACATTCACTAAACCCAGCAATCAGTAAAATATCCTGTTCTAATCAGTGAAGTAGCCTGCTTTAAGTACCGCTTTGGATAATGCAACGTTGCTTTAGGTCTGCGTATTATTATTGGTTTTTGTGCAGAGTAATAAATGCGAACTTTTCTTACTCCCACACCACTAAAAAGTATTCCGGCATTTTCGTCTTTTCCCATAATTCATGCTATGTGGTCCACAAGTAAGGCTTCAGAATCTTACTGTAAAGATAAGAGAGAGAAAATAAGGTATACCGTTACAAAGGTCAACTTGGACAAAGGTACTAGATATGTATTTCCTACACAGATAGTCAGAAATCTGACAACCACATTTTTATCCGAAAAAAACCCGTAAAATGATGCATGTAGGAAACAATAAAATTGATAGATTTAACAACATTCTAATGGCAAATACGCAACCATAAAAAGTGTAAGCTCTAAAAAGAATACTGACAGAAAAAAAATCCATTTACATATTATGTATAGTTGGTATTATTCTAGGTTCATTTTTTGCTATATTCGCGATAATCCTAAATCATAATCTCCGTGACTAAAAACAGACACACAAAATAAGTAAAGACGTGTCAACCCGTTTACTGTCGAAAAATCCAGTGGACGTAACGTGAACCAGCTCTCGGTGCTGTGGCAGTGTCGATACTGACTAGATTTGAAACCTTTTCTTCCCTTGGTTGTTATAAAAGAATGAAATTCAACACATTCATTTATTAAAAGGTAAACTAAACTCAGTTATAAATGTGGCATGCCCATGATTCTACGATTGTCCCGAGCTTATCAAACTTACATGTACGGAAGAAACCAGCGGCCGTGAACTCCCAACGAAATTGTTCCGATTGGGACAACCACGAAATATTAGCCTTGCGAAAATATATACAGTATACGGAAAGTTTAAAATAGAAGATATGATGATGGGAATGTTACGGAGACATAGACACTGCATCAACAGTAATTAAGTCTAAGTTTGTTTTGAACACAAACAGGAGTTAAATTATTTAGACTCCTTCCTTGACAATGGAAGCACACGTTTTAGAAAGCTGGCAAAATCAGTTTTCAACTCCTGCTTGTGTTCAAAACAAATTTAGACTTTATTATTCATACCAAACTGATGAATTTTATTCCAAATATAACAGCAATAGTTTTAAGCTATTATATACAATTTTAGTCAAGACCTGATATGGAACATGTTTATCAAGTCTGGCTTTCTCATTTAGAAAAAAAAGTAGAAGCAATTGTGAATGTACAAAACTGAGCAACAAAACAAGTTCCCGGCCATTCTTAATAAAAGACTTATCTATTTTCGTACGGAACATTTGTAACAAAATATTTCATTGCCAACATAAATTATAGAAGATCACGTGGTTACATTGAAGTTTATATAATCATTTCCGGGAAAGAACCGCAGAATTGTTTCCGATCATAAAGAGATCATCCACTCGAAGTCACAAGTCTAAAGAATACAAGGAGTTTTCGAGGTTAGGTGAGAACAATAATCGTTTATGAACAGAATGTTAGATGTGTAAAACGACCTCCCAACTAATGTGGTAAGTTCAACGACAATCAAATTTCAGAAGGAATTTGTTAAACATATGCAAAATCAACAACAGAATATTGTTTTAGAGAAACAATTGAACTGTGAACTTCACAATTATAATCATGTGCATTGCAGTTGATGACCTGACTTTCAAAGGATTGTGATTCCTGTATATAGATATATAGCGTCAGAAAATATCTGTGTATCGTGTGTATCTGTGACACATTCACCGCTTACATGGGGTTGGTCAACTTTCGAATACGTCCAGGTATATAGCACTTATAAAAAGAATCAATTTATTAAATCTTGGTTAAGATTTGTATATATATTAAAATATTCGATGACTATTTAATCCGAAAAGAGGTTTGTTTACTAATATCACCTCGGTATAACGCTCTGGATTAATCAAATCGGAACATCACAAAAAGTATGACGAACAACACCTAAAATACGTCTAATAAAGGAAAGATAATTTAGCTTCCTCTTATTGAAAAATAAATAATTCCATAAAGGTTATTAATAGCATAAACTTAAACTGTTTTTTCTTCTGGTCACTGACTGTATTAATCTTGCTGCACTTCGATGGCACTGGTCTGTAGGTCTTGTATAAGATGTACGGGTAACATGTACGTCAGGTACTGTCCATGTCAAGTGCAGGAATGATGGTAAAAACTCACAGGTACACGTACAAACACGCAATCACGTGACAAAGACATTAACATGACAATACAATACAGGTGAAAAATACTCAGATGGACACGTGAACTGCACAAGTACATGTATTAAAATAGATGGCGTTAGACATACGTTGTAATAAAATAATTTAAAAGGACTAAATATTTCATACTAAAAGTTTGAAAGATTTGTGTATACACTGCCACATTATGGCGGACATTTCATCATCTGTTAGACTGTTTGCAGATGATACTATTATGTATCTCACTGTAACATCAGGAAGAGACGCTCACACTCTGCAATGAGACCTTGACAGATTAGGTCTTTGCGATAGAAAGTGGAAGATGATATTCTATCTTGACAAATGCCATGTCCTCTATAATACTGCGAATAGGCACCCATAGGTCATCCATAGACACTCAATTGTACGATTGCCGACAAGAGCCTGGCAAAAAGATGTGAATTTACATATCTTTTTGTACCATGGTACACTTGTATATGGTACACAAAGATATCAAAATTCAAATCTTTGTGTACCATGTAAAAGTGTACCATGGTAAACAAAGATATGAAAGCAGAAATAAAATCAACCCGTTGCTTTTGTATCTTTCTGTACCAAAATAACGGCTGAAAACAGCAATGGTACAGAAACATGTGAAACCATCAGACGAAAATGTTACCCTTTATGACAAATTACACCCTGATAAGGCTGTCATCACATACAATGAAATGTTATCGCACGGAATGCCTGTTATTTTTATTACACCAAATGAGCTACCAAACTATGACTTACTCATTTAAATTGAAATCAACTATTCAATATCCTTTACCGAATTTTATAAATGTTTTACGTTAAAAAGGAAGTCATTATGGATTATGAGCTAGTTGTACGATTCTTTTAAAATCTCGACATCTATCAAAACAAGGGAAATGACAAAAATATTCAGATGTCCTTTATACTTTTTGGAGACCCTGTCAAGGCCCCTATACTAACACAATTGCAACTAACTCTGTTTTTCATCAGAAGTGATTAATGAACTTCACGACTTGTTTCGAAGTTGTAATTAGGGCTTCACTATTCGGGGTCAGTTCTCGTCAAAGTGTCCGATAACAACATTCCGATGCTCTGATGGTACACTTTTTCATATCTATTTGTACCGTAGGAATTACAAAAAGAAATGAAAAAAGTGTAACTCGGTACTAAAAGGAGAGAAGCTTTCATATGTTTTTGAACCGGGCAAAAGTGTACCACGGTACAGAAAGATATTAAAAAAGTGTAACGCGTGATTTCATGGTACACTTTTTTCATATCTATTTGTACCGTAGGTGGTACAAAAAGAAATGAAAAAAGTGTAACGCGGTACTAAAAGGAGAGAAGCTTTCATATGTTTTTGTACCGGGCAAAAGTGTACCACGGTACAGAAAGATATTAAAAAAGTGTAACGCGTGATTTCATGGTACACTTTTTTCATATCTATTTGTACCGTAGGTGGTACAAAAAGAAATGAAAAAAAGTGTAACGCGGTACTAAAATGAGAGAAGCTTTCATATCTTTTTGTACCGGGCAAAAGTGTACCACGTTACAGAAAGATATGAAAATTCAAATCATTTTGCCGGCGGATATCGGCTGTTGGTACATATACATGTGAAAGTAAAGAGTATTTTTGTAAAGTTGTATATAATCTTTATGTACCATGGTACACTTTTACATGGTACACAAATAATTGAATTTTTATATCTTTGTGTATCATGGCACACTTTTACATGGTACACAAAGATTTGAATTTTCATATCTTTGTGAACCATATAAAAGTGTACCGTGGTACAAAAAGAAGTAGATTATTTTACAGGTATAAAACAGTCCCTGTTAGTCCCTTTCAGTCCCTGTCAGTCCCTTTCAGTCCCTGTCAGTCCCTGTCAGTCCTACAGGTATAAAACAGTCCCTGTCAGTCCCTTTCAGTCCCTGTCAGTCCCTTTCAGTCCCTAAGTGAAAACAGTCCGTATCTATACATATATACTGTAGGGCACATAGATATAAAGTAACGTACACAATCGCATTTTCATCACTTTTCACTCGATAACGGACGAGATTAGTGCTGCTCCAAACTGGCTTGAAAAAGTTCAGCGATCTCTAATAATCCTCCACAAATTAGGACTACATCGTGATGCATCTCTACATAAGGAGCTTAAACTATGTACGGCGACACAACACAGAGAAGATATGTATGCTCCTGTTTAGGAAAGGGAGCATCATTTGATAATGAAGATGAGAGAGAAAAGGCAAATGCTTTCTGTTACTATGATATCCGAGACACGTCGTAGGATAGAGCGGATGTGTCTGGAAGACAATATTTCATACGATGAAGCGGTAGAGCTCTTGTTCATACGTCATGGCTAGCAAGAGAGACAAATGACGGACGGACGGACGGTTGACTCTAATCTCTAATCTAATGACAATATATGTCAGACAGTCCAAAGCCTGTAAAATCACAACTATCAGTTGGACATTTTCACACATTTTCTCTTGTATAGAATATACTCAATCCTTTTATTACCTTAGGATAATTACATTTAACACATAGCAAGTGTATCATTAACGTACTGAACCTTATTACATTACTATTCGAGAGAGCAGAGTTGTATTATCAATCGTAGCAGTCAACAGAGAGTGTCAACTTTGCTGCTAATGATAACGACTGTTCTTCAGAACAATGATTAAGTAGCATCTGTATAGTACAAGATAAAGTTGCTAACTGAATCAAATGCGTACAACATTTTCATACATCTAACCCATGTGTACCAACATATGTATATGGGTTGGGAGTTATAAAAGTATATGACACTGTCTAATACTATTAAAGAGAGTGGAATCCTATAAATATATGTAACTGAATCGCACAAGTAGACCTCATCCTTAAGAGTTGCATTAGAATGATAAAAACAACAACAACAACAACAGTTTCAAATTTAAACATTTATTTAGTACAGTAAATAAAAAAAGACAAACTTTTCCCTATATATGATGGATATGTATAATCATAATATAAAAGATAACTTAAGCATTGGTATAATCATATACAAAAAAGAAGAAGATAATTTAAACATTGATAAAATCACACTAAAAAATAGTCACATTATCCTGAGTATCTGTTGCAAAATGATCACAATAAAGTTGCAATATATCTTAAACATTGGTATAATCATATAAAAAAGATAGATAAATTAAACATTGGTAAAATCAGACTAAAAAATAGTCACGTTACACTAAGTATCTGTTTTAAAATTATTACAAAACACTGAGTAGCTGTTTCAAAATTATCACAACAAAGTTACAAAACAAGAAACATTACTGCATTTTTTTTTTATCGCAATAAAGTTACAAAACACTGGGTATTTGTTTCAAAATTATTACAAAACACTGAGTATTTGTTTCAAAATTATTACAAAACACTGAGTATTTGTTTCAAAATTATCACAACAAAGTTACAAAACAAGAAACATTACTGCATTTTTTTTTTATCGCAATAAAGTTACAAAACACTGGGTATTTGTTTCAAAATTATTACAAAACACTGAGTATTTGTTTCAAAATTATCACAACAAAGATACAAAACAAGAAAGATTACTGAATTTAAAAAAATAATTATCGCAATAAAGTTACAAAACACTGGGTATTTGTTTCAAAATTATTACAAAACAATGAGTATTTGTTTCAAAATTACCACAATAAAGTTACAAAACAAGAAACATTACCGAATTAAAAAATAATTATCACAATAAAGGTAAATTGTTGAACTAAAAAAAATTAAAAAGTCACATTATACTTAGTTTCTGTTTTAAAAGTACCAAACAACAAGTATTATTTAGTGTTTGATATATGAAACCAGTATTATTAAATGTTTAATATCCAAACGAAGTAATATGTGTTTATGTAAATATCAAACAATCACTGAACTAAGAAAAAAAAGAGAGAAAAAAACCCAGAAAACTCTAACACACGCGATTCCTTGGAGTGTACGGGCTTCTTCTCGATGACTGCTCCATCTCCACTTCCACCTCCACCTCAACTACAAGTTAAAAAGAGAAACATTTTTAAAAACATTTTTCAATAAAAAAATTACTGAACAGAACCATTTATATATTCATACCAGACAAAATAAGCAGTCTACCTTCAAATCAATTCTGATTGTATAAATTCTTACCTAGTGGTCTGCTAGAGGAGACAGATGTACAAGAGGATGTGAAGGTGCTCTCCAGTTCCTCTCTAGATTCTACAAGTTTAAAAGAATAATTAGCAATAATGTTTAGTGTAACACAAGGTATTGAAATATGAAATAAAACCTAAGAAATATAAACATTTTCTACATACCCTCAAATGAATCTTCATCCTCTACATCTGCTTCATCTACAATGTAAATGTAACGTAAAATCAAATTATATACATGAATAAATATTATTCAAAACGTTGTAAATCACATCATCATCATTGAGCATTATCATTTAAGAACATCTTCATAAAAATCTAACTTACCTGTTGTTGGAGGTATGGCGAGATGAGGTAGAACCTCATCCATTCGATATCCTCTAGAATTTAAATATATGAACATTTAAATGTGCAGACAAAGGGACCAGACAAAAGTGTCCTTTATAGAGAGGTGTCCTTTATAGAGAAGTATCCTTTATAGAGAAGTATCCTTTATGGAGAGGTGCCCTTTATAAAGTGGAATGTATATTCAACAATTTAAACCAAATGTAAATAAAAATTATTGCAATATATATAAATCTACTGAGTTATTATATTTAAACACTATATATATATTAAAATAACATTGTAGGCAGTAACGCTTTGTCGTAAGGTTGATGACCGCGATATGAAAGGCTTTGCGTTTATTCATTATTCAAATGTAATGCTTTATAGAGTAGAAAGATGAATTTAAGACACACACACTAAGCACCCCAGGTTTAAAAGTTTACAATAGATGCAACATGCAAAAATAAATTGCACTTCACCATACAACTGTTACATCCTTCTAGCAGTCATCGGTGATGCTAGAACCCGAGAAGTTGGAAATCCAAATCCGTTCAAAACTATTGTTAAAACCGAAGGGAAGGTGCATAAAACCCTTTTAATTATATGATTGTTAAAACATCAAAATAAGGATACTGGTTATTTTTAAATTAATAAATAGTAAAGTATATATGTTAAAAAACGTGTCATTACTCAAATGACATAACTGAGAGAGAACTGTTTCGTCAATCTAAGGTGTATTGCAACGGTTATCACGTCATATCATTATCTGCATTTGTGAAGACATGCATGTGTTATGGCTAATATCTGCACTACAGCCATTTACACAAATTAACAAGTCTTGGAATTTGTTCACCATAGGTATTGCATTATTGCATGAGCTGCATTGGGAAAATGCATTGTTGAATTGTCTAAGCCTGATTGCATAATAATATTCAGGTAAACACTGAAGGCTTTACCTGCCGACATCAGGTAAATATCTTACATTGTAAAAACTAAGTTTTCCATGCTTTGTTTGCAATAGGCAAAAATATAGGAAACCAATCCGACAATGTTACTATTATGGTGCACTTTTTAATACATCACAAGGGATTAACGTTTCCAGTTCGTTTACTTGGCTTAACAACGCGTTTGTCCCAAGCTTAGTTGCAAGTTACTTTGTATTACCTCTCTGTCCTGTATCACACTAGAACTCATCACTCAACCCTGTATCACAGGTTGGCCATTTAAAAATATGAATACTTTCTTGATACATTGATCTGCTTAAACTGATGTAATGTATATTCTTATTTTAATTACAATGCATATCATAATTATAAGCATATGTCGGTTATTATGACACTCGTTCGTGTTTATTTGATATACGTTTTTATTTATTGTTAGCAATATATCCAATGTATCATATTTTAGAGTTTCGTGTTCCTGGATGCGAGATTGTGTTGTAAATGTTTTTGTCACATCATCGTGCTATCTCATAGACGTTTCCTAGCGACGACTTCTATTAAGCCATACACCGTTTTCGCGGCATCATCTAACTACCAAACCGAAAAATCGACATAATGAAACATTACCTCCCTTAAGTGATATACATGCTTCTATATGTACTAACATGGCGTGCATATTCAACTAAGCAAAGAAATTATGCCAAATAAATGATTATACAATATATATAATATAATTTAGAAAACGTTCGACATGTCTTTGTAACACATGTCTGGCATATAATATGTCCTAACAACAATAGAAGGCATAAATATAAAAGTAAATTTCGGGGCAATCATATGACATAGCTCAATGCTGACATTATCATTACAATACCATCATAATTTAACCCATGCATAACATTAACTTAGATAATTTATCTGATTATGCATATTTGTTTATTAAATGATGAGTTAGATAAATCCCATATATTTTCCGTTGAGTTAGACAAATATAGAAAAGAAAAAAAATCTTCAGACTGTGTCATTTCCGGTTTGCATTAATTTTGACGGTTCGCTTACACTTAGACATCATATAAACAAATGGAAGATGGTTATGATTAATCTTGAAGAAATACGAGTATACTACTAGATGTTTCGGACAAGTAAGTATATTATGTTTGGAGGACACCCACTATGTCAAGTCCAAGAGACGTTGCGGTTTGAATTAAGAACTGGTTAAGCAACAAGAACAGCCCGCTGTAAACAATTTATGATCACGTCCTTTGCATAAAGTTACTACTTGGTCCCTCATTATAACCTCATTTTCTCAGATTTTATAAAACAAACGACTTTGTTGTCGCTAAAATTTTATTGAGAAATAAAACTCCTCCAATTACAACATTGAAACATAAGTGAATTGAATACCCAACAATGGTATATGACAGTGTAATTTAAAAACATGTAATCTTTTATATATATATATATAAACATTNTCTTCAACTTTAATTCTACAACTTAAAACAAATTTTATTAAAAGTCAGCAACATTCATATTATGAAATAAGACTCCATCAATTACAACATTGTAACGTAAGTGAAATGAATATCCAACAATGGTATATGGTAGTGTTATTTAAAAACATGTAATCTAATAGTTTTACCAAACTATAGTATATGATACACGGGATGTCTCTCATACTTGTCGAATTTCACTTGCTGTCTCTCATACTTTTCAAACTTTAAATGACGTCTCTCATACTTTAACTTTAGTGTTACAACTTAAAAAATAATTTTGTACAACTTTTCTTTAACGCAATACAGATGACGTCTCTCATACTTCAAGTTTAGTGTTACAACTTAAAAAAAATATTTTAATTTAGTTTTTATACATGTTGAAACTTTTCTTTAACGCAATACAGATAACGTCTCTCATACTTTAACTTTAGTGTTACAACTTAAAAAAAATATTTTAATTTAGTTTTGATACTTGTTGACACTTTCTTATATTTCTTTTCTTTTCTTTTTTCAAATTGAAATTCAACAATATATAGTATATAATCTACATGTAATCTATATACATATGAACATAGTTTTACAATAATCTATTCATTCATGACGACTTCTGTCTGACATTTGAATAAATATTTGTAAAACTACATTTCTGTTTCATTTTTATTGCCAATCCATGGTAGAAATAATATAATGACCAAACGCAAGCGTATCATATCGATTGGGTAAGACCCAACGTTTGTCATCGAAGGCACACAGACCCGACTTGTTGACGGTATAAACATACAGTTGGTGTTTATCGCTTCTAATCGAATTCATTTTACACATTTTAATTGTGTTTTCGAATAAACAGTTCCTATACATTTCATGTCTTAGGTCCCGTCTGATGGTCGTCATTGCAATGCCTTTAGCTACCTGTTTTTCTTTCATATCGTTTCGTAGAACGGTAGGATTGTCGGTTTCTAACCGTGATTGTACGGCATAGACGTAAGAGTACATTTTAGCGCGGAGTCCTACAAACTCTGCAATGGGTTCGCTTCCCGTTTCGTCTTTAAAATATCCGGGTATTTTTTTGTTCTTTGTATCGTGACAACGATGGTCGATTGGATAATTGGACAGGTCAAACAGGTGTCTGTCCCGATACATGTCATCATAGACGTCTGGACATTGGACGTGGTACAATAGACTGTCCGTGTCCGTCATGAGTAGCTTTATTCCATCTCCATATCTCGGTTTTAGGTACTTGTAATAAAACTCGTACATGATACATTTCGATAGATCTAGAATGGTCTGCCCTACATACACGGGTTTGTTTAATACTAGTTTGATTTTATCGTTTTGAATGGCTACCAAGTCCTCGTTAAAGATGGTGAACCGTTGAAAAGAAGGTCTTGCCACGTACTTTTCGAACTTTTTGTCCGTGTGTGCCAGCTTTATATCGACTCTAGATCGTACGTTCTCCATCGTCTTACCGAACACGGCATTATTCATGAGTTTAAAGAAATCTTTCTCGAACTCGTTCTTACACGACGCTCTTTTGGACGTGTTGAATTGTATGTATGGACGTAACCACGGTTTTTGTTTAAATTCTAGGATTCTGTGGATTTTGGCGACTTTTAGACCCAATTCCGAATACAACTGTAGATTTCTATAATGACAGATGTACTTCGTCTTGCGTTCTAATGTTGGAATCAGTTTTGCTGTCGGTACGTGCCCTTGTAATTTGTCATCGGTGTGTTTGGGGTTAGGATGTAACGTTTCCCACAGTTGTTTACTGGTCGGTGACAAGTCTATGTCGGGGATTTTTTTTCGCTCCGGAGCGAGGGGGTAATCGGAATGACTGACGTGAAGTTCGTCTGGGTATTCCAGATCTACCTCCAACACGTATCCCAAGTCTCCGTCTTTGGCGATTTTGGCTATGTCAAATGATTGTGGGCTTTCAACCCATTGAAACTCTTCCACGGGTAGCGATTCCGACATGGCCTTTCCGTACAAGTTATTACAATCCGTATACATGATATACGAATGTGGTTGGGATAGGTCCCACGTTTCTGGAATGTAAGGATTGTTAGCTAGAGCGTACTTGTTAGAGATCATACTAACGCCACCTCGTATCCCGTTTTCGAAAAAGAGATACATGTCTGGACCTCTGATGAGTTCTAACCTCACTTCCGTCATGTTCAAGGCTGCACTCCAAGCCAGACCTGGACTGGTATAGAAGTGAGCTGCATCTAACCCGTAATATTCCAGGCACATGTTTCTGAAGTTCTCAAAGACATCGGCCAATAGTAACACATCCGTCTTGAGATAGAGGTCGTGATACTGACCAAGGTTTGAAATGTTCAGTTTCTCCCACACGTTCTGTGCATGTGTATAATCGGCATCTGACACGTGTGATCTACTCAACGAACTATAGAATTTCTCTTTTGGGGGGAGCTTTTGTTCGAAAAACCGATTCGGGTTGTCTACGTACTCGTAGGGATATACACCTTTTCTGAGAAGCAACTTGGCTTCTGATTCGGTAAACTCTCTAGAGAAATTATTGAATTTTACCACACCCTCTTTGGCAAGATTTTCTGTCAGAGTCTCTAGGCTCTGAGACATGAACTGAAACGAATCTATGAATCTAATGTCACCTAGACTAAACGAAATGTATTTTTCCGTAGTGTTTGGAATGCAATTGAGTTCACGATCTTTGAATATTCCTTTGCTTTCCGTTAGAATGTGCGCATCGAACTGTTTTAAGTTGTGAAAAACACACGGTATGTGACTAGGATATTTGTACTTCAAATTACACTCGGTATGGGCAGCGCCGCGAAATTTGCCACTCAAATGGCAGTGATCTCGCACCACGGTACTGCTGTCCGTAAAGTGTTTACCACATATGTGACATCGGCTACTTGTCACAAAAGACTGCTCATCCTGAAGAGTCATGATGAGCGGTTCTGGGTGATGTAAGATATCTTTGATTTGTTTTTCTTCCTCTATGATACATTCCAGAAAATGTTTACTAACGTCACTCCCCCTGAAAATGACAGGTGGTTTCGTATATCTGTCTTCCATGCATACGACTTGGTATCCAAACCCACAGGGTTCGAATTTTGTAGTCTTAGTCGTGCTCGAATGGTCAGGGTTTGGTTCGCATGAATCCATTTGCTCTACAAACGTTTCAGAATCGGCAAAAATGATAAAGGGTACTTTCATTTGTTTCTGAAAGTCTTGAAACGATAAGAGGGTATCGTCTTCATTGGGAAATTCTACTCTCTGCATCTTGTGATTGGAACACAGTTCCACATGTCTGTTTAACAGTACACTACTCGTGAAACCCTGCAAACAATGCTGACAAAAATGTGTTAGATGTTTCGTTTTTTTCGTTCTACTCAAAAATGTGTTCAAATTTGGAATGAGGCAGTAATATGTTTTACACCTTCATGTAAAAATAGCAGATTGACATGATGACGGGACTGTTTCGTCTTTGTCGTGTACATAGGATAAATCGTTTTATCCTCGACCCCAAACACGTTCACTGCTATACCGTTCTGTCTTTCGAATTTATCGATTTGAGAAATGGAGATGGGATACTTGATACCTGTCATAACTAATTCGCATTCGTACTTCTCGTAATGAGAAACGCGTTCGGATAGGGCATCGACCGGATGGAGAGACGCTAAAACTGACCATAGGAAGCACTTATCGTCAGAATTAAGGACATTGATCAAATTGTTCTTACGGAAAGTGAGTGGAGTCGGTATGTAAGAGGAACCATTCAAAGGTGAGTAGTTTGCAATGTTTTTCAAGCCTGATGATTTTCTTGAGTACCCATGCAGACCCTTGCCTAACGAATTCCTCAAACGAGGCAAATATTTTCTGATACGCTGCATTGATATCGTGTTCTAGACCCGATTCATTTGACATCAACATATAATTTCTACTCAAGAAATGCGGTGTGGTCTGCACTACATTACCTTCTCGATCTTCCTTTTCCAATGCTATACGAATGTTTAAGTACCATTTTATCCCGTTCAAACTTCACACAGATTTTTGACATGTTCCATCACTTCCGCTTTCGAATTGGCAAAAAAGGTGAGTATGTCACTATTGTGCTCGAAATTTGGAAATATGTTTCTGACGTTTGCATTCCCTCCCAAACTCACATCGTCTGAAAAAGTATGTCCTTCTCGTACAGATGATTCTGACAGTGGCGACTAGACATCGGAAGGCCCCGGGAGCGGCGATTTAACATCGGAAGGCCCCGGCAGTGGCGATTGAACACCGGAAGGCTCGGGCAGTGGCGATTGAACATCGGAAGGCTCAGGCAGCGGTGATTGAACATCGGAAGGCTCAGGCAGCGGTGATTGGACACCGGAAGGCTCAGGCAGTGGCGATTGAGCACCGGAAGGCTCAGGTAGTGGCGATTGAACACCGGAAGGCGATTGATCCCGCACTGATGGTGGAGTTCTTAAGGGTTCAGGTAGGGATGATCGAATATCTCTTTCTCCTCCAGTCTGTGTAATTTCGTGATATTTTGCTACGTGTGCTTTCATAGTATATTTCCTTCCGAACGTCTTATTACATATGTGACATTTGTAATTATTCTTTTTGTCCACCGCGTCTAATGCCCTTTTCAACTTTCTCACAGTTTCTATGGCATTCTCGTCACCATTAGACATTGACTTAAGTAAATCATCGTGCTGCCATGTTTCTCGTTCGAGTGTTTCATCCCTTGTGTGTCCACTATCGTTCAAATGTGTAGGTTTTATATCTTAAATGACAACCATTTCCGCTTGATTTGTTTCTCAAATTGAAGAGGCGTGGTCTTCACAAAAAGTTTTCCACCTCGTTGACTCTTTGCTTTTCTACGCATGCTCCGTCTGAGTGATGTAGTCTGCTCTCTGTCATTGCGCGGTTTTTCAATAGATTGATCATGTTCGTGATCGGTTGATTCCACACTAGACTTATCGACTTTCATTTAATTAGATGGGATGACGTCGTCTTTCGACTTATTAGAGTTAATATCAGTATCTGGCGGGATGCTCGATGAATCGTCGGGTTCTTGATGTCTGATGATTTCGTCATATTTTGTCTTTGATATCAATATCATTGCTCTAGCAATGTCAAGTAATTTCTGAAGAATACGGGTATTATTTGACTCACTACAAGTAGTCTCCGTCTTCTTTGACGTCTACTGATTCCTTTCGTCAATACTTTACGTATGGCCACTTTGTGTTTAGCTATAGTCATTTTATCCTCGTCAGAAATGGTGATGTTATCTACAGCAATGTTATGAATTATTTCCATCAGAAATTTGAGTTGTCTATCTGTTTACGTTAACAATATGCCTTTCCTCTGTTCGCTCGATGCTATCAACCAGAATTCTACTAAACTCTTCATTGTTTTTTAGGGAAATACAATACCGTATCCTCTCCCAGCAAGATCCTAGTAAGGAGTGGTGGTACTTCGGAGCGTAGACCTATGATAGTTACGTTCGGATTCGAAGGTGAGACATCGATTAATAAATAACCGAATCTGTTTGATGTTGCCAACTGGTATGCTTCTCTAAAGTTAGCGTTCTGTCTGGGAAATATCTGTCGTCCTAATGCTTCTACTTGCGATTGGTCTCTATAGTTTCTAAACAGAACGAAATATTGCGTATTTAGACTCAATGTGCGCATGACTTTTCCTTTCTGGAATACGTTCTGTACTTAAAACATGGCGGTAAAGTTTTGATGGTGAGATTTCACGCAAAAAAAAAATCATTAGATGTGGGCTGTCCACTCCCTCTGCCATACAGTCGTCTATCACCAGTAGTTTATGACCTTCTATATCCCCCCATTCATTTAACTGATCTTCGTTTGGCAAACCTTGATGAAACGTGATTTCCTTCAAGTTTCGTCTGAACTCGTCAAATGCAGGCTGCCACGTGTCGTAACATAGAATGATCTCTTTAGGGGGTTCGCTAAACATACCATTAGCGTTCTCCAATATCTTTTTGATTATGAATGTTTTTCCAGAACCAGAAGCACCACACACCATGGCTCTACATGGATATTGGAACTTGATGAGACTCTGTCTGGTATACCACGTCATCGTTAATTGTAAAATGAAGACACAAACACGAAACTTTGCTATTTATAAGATTTATTTTTTCTTCAACCTTTTTTAATCTATACATAAATAATATTTCCTGTATACTTTTATAGACTATTTACTATTCGGTACAACATGTTTGATGAGTACGTGTATAGTTAAAACAGTAAGGAAATGAATTCTGAATGAATTCGTATACATATTTGTCATTTGCTTCTAAGTTATTTCCAAAAGGTCTTAGGATGGATTCCATCGGTATCCCTCTGCAACGATTCATCAAGTAGTACAAACAATATTGTCCACACACTCTCGATGTGTTACTCTGCAGCCGTCTATCGTTGTAGGTATTAGCTTCGAGCGAAAAATAACTCGGTGAATGTCCATAGCTATCGAACAATTCCTTTTTCCCCTTTGATTTACAATAGAAAGCTAACCAATGTCTTCCCGGACTATCACGATTGTCCGTATTGACGATGTAACCAATTGGAAATGTTTCCATCTCATTCGGTATCTCGTCACGAGCGTAAACCCCTATCACCGTTTTTTCTCATTACAGGATCACAGTCTATGATGCAACGCAACTGTGAGGTGTTCATGGTAATACTATATCTCTCGCAGCATTGATTTCAAAGTAACCCGGATATTCGCAGTAAATGATGCAGGATACCGCTGTCGTCAATGCCGTTCCAGAGATGACTTCTAGTCTGACGTTCCCTTGTTTGAGTAAGGTGAGATATTGATTAGTTTGAAAGGTAGGTTCCAATTCGAAGGTGTAGAGTGCATATCCTTTTGCAATATCGTCCCTCTCTATGTCAGAACCGGTATCGTTAAGCCATTTCCCCGTCGATTGTAACATGGTTCTAAGGACTGGAATGGTGGTTTGACCGCCGGTTGTACCATATTTGAGTTTTATGGGGTTTCCGCCGACTGGTACTCCATCTACGTAGACTCCTATGGATGTGACGTCATAGGGTTGGAAAAACCAGGGGTTCTGTTCGTAGTCACCGGTGGTACTGCTGGCGTTTACGAATCCAACTACGACGAGGTTTGGTCTCACACCTTGGAATATGTTGTCGTAAGTGAAGTTTGTTGTCCCGGTAGGGATGGTCATCTGCTTGACCATGGTCTGTGTAAATGGATATTTGGCATTGGTCACGTCGAGAGCTTGACTTTGTGCATAGATGACGGCCGGGTTGACCCTGACTTTGCTTACGCGTAGTCGAATGTCTTCAAAGGATACCTTATAATCGGCGGATGCGGTACCGGATAGGAGACAAAAACTTGGTTTAGAACGATAGAGTTTGACGTTGACGTTGACTTGGTTCAATAGATACCTATCCATCTTGAAAAAATCGTGATAGAGCGGACCGACCACATCTACCACTTTCCCACCTTCGAACATTTGAGCTCTTACCAAGAGCGCGTTGTTTGCTCCGGTTCTAGGACTATGTTCACCCATGTCTCCCTCGTCGTCACGCTCCCCATATTTGAGTAGTCAACTGAGTCGTCTTTGCTTCATTACCGTATTTCAAAAGACTCTGTATATAAGCCTTGTAGGAATAATGACTCGTTGTTGAAACTATGTTCTTCCCCTGTAGACTTGTGAAAATAACGAAGGTAAAAACAAATTGACGGGTCCTACATCATCGGTAAGGGCTATGGCGGTTCCGTCCGCTTTAGTTATTTTCACCTTTGCATAGATCAGACTGTTTCGTAAATCTAGTAATTCCAATCCGTTTTGTCCGGAAACGGCGAATTCTACTACTGAATCGCTCGTGATTTAAGATAACGGTAACACGTCTTGATAGTAAATATTTTCGACAGCTGTCTGTGTCGGTGGAAGGTCAAATATTGCTAATTCTGACGGCTGTGCTTCTCTGAAGAACTCTTTGTTTAACGCAGCCATTGTGATATCAGACTCTTATTCTTCCTTTTATTCTTTTTCACAAATTTCCTTTTGGCTTTACTTTTCACTTTACTCGTCTTCCGTTTTGTTGTACTTGTTTTTCGTTTCTTTAGATGTGTTCGTGGACTGTTTACACGTCGACGTTTCCTAGCAGACTGACGACGATTTGGAGTTCGTTTCCTTTTCACCTGGGATTTGACTTGTTCCAGTACTTCTTGAGCTGGAGAGACCATGCTTACGTTTACCTCTCGCGAAGGTAAGGCCTTTTCTCCCACTTTATCGTTTTTGTCTATGGGAATCATGAATTCGTTCGAATTTTGTGACAATCCTCCACCGAATTGCTTCACGTTTCGTTTCGTATTGCCTACATAAGCATTTTCTTTTCCACGTGCTACCTCTTGATAATATTTTATCCATTTCCCCACGTTGGGAACGTACATCTTTGAAACGTTCATGCTAGAAATGGATATTGTTTAAAGTGAAGTGTGATCGTCGCTTGATCTTTTAAGAATGAAGCTGAATCACCCTTTCCCGTTCTTATATGAAATTCCATGTCTCTAACTTCTGACTTTTTCACAGATACGTAGTATGGAACATTGAACGATTGGGACCAGTTTGCTACTTTCATTGCTCTTATCGGACGGAGAAGAGTTTTCTTTTCACCATCGACGAAGCTTTCGTCACATACGTCACTGTATAGGTATAAGTTATGTCTCGTCTTCGTACCACTCGTAGTTAATGTAATGTCGACTAAGGCCACTTTCCAAGTTCCATGTAGATTAAGCGGTGTTTGGAAGTGCGCACCGAATTGGTAAGGTTTGTTTTGAGGAAAGTAATTCTTACTTCCATCACTGTGAATGACTACGTAATGTGACATCTTAGGCTTTGCTTACATCTCTGATGTCTTTCTCTGCTATCCACTGGTTATATTTAGACGGCCAGCCTTCGAATTTAACGAGCCATTCGATTTGACCGGCTCTCTTACGCTTTTTCACTTTTTCTTCGATGTACCATAATGCGTTTTCGTCCTTGTCCACTCTCTGTAGTTCGGATTGATAAAAGTTCCCCGTGATTGGCTCGTTCAAAAAGTCTATTAACTGGTACTGTGGTATACCTTGACGTAAGAAACGCTTGTTGACTTTGAATATTTCTGAAGACCATTGTTGTTGATAAGCTCGTTTAAAGAGTTGTTTTAGGTGTGAGATTCTCACCAGGCTGTCAAGCTTAAACCTGAAGTTTTGATTCTGTTTTATCGTAACGGTTCGTATGACACGCTCGACCACGGAAGCTTTCTGTTCATTGCGGCTAGTATAGTATTTAATGTCATTGTCTTCACAATATCTTCTCATCAATTTTCCAGTAAATTCTTTACCTGCGTCGGTATATAAACGTTTTGGTTTTTTTGCGTGTCTGACGATCTTTCTAAACGCATCTAACACGTCTTTTGTCGTTTTCGTTTTTGTAGGTTCCACCCATAAGAAGCGACTGAATACATCTATGACGACGAGAAGGAACCGAGTACCACCATTCTGTTTAGAAAGGTTCGACACGTCTGCGAGATCGGCTTGAAATTCCTCGTAAGGACCGGAAACTTCCACTCGTGCTCTCTTGAAAGAACGCTTGACTGGTTTTTGTAAGCTATAATCGTCCAAGCTCTGAATATATCTTCTAATCTTGTATAGACCTGGTGAAGTGAATCCTTGGGATTTCAACACTTGATGAACTTTCGTTGGACTCATAAAACTACCTCCGTTCTTGAAATTGTAATATACTTCATCTATAAGTCGCTTCTCTTCCTCGGTCAACATATTCAATGATAATACAAACAATATAGGTATATGTAGTCTTTTATTATGCTGTTTTATGAAACCAGTGTTCTACACGATTCATGAATGTGACTATTTTACCGACTTTCTCTTTCCATTTTTCTGTTTTGAGTTCATTCACTCTCCATTCGGCATTACATAATTGTGTTATGAAAGCGTTTCTAACTCCTCTCTGAACTTTAAAACGAACAGTTTCTCGAATAAAGTCACGAATCACTCTGATGTCATCTATATGAATAAAGGCGACCTTTACATCACATTGTCTTTCACTTATGATTTCTCTGACGTGGTTTGCATATGTCAATTTCAATAAGTTGTCCATTCCGACGACTTCCGGCGCATCTGAAGCAGCATTCATTCCCATGGTGAAATCTTAATGTTATTATTAGGTGGGTAAGGTAAAACACAATGCTGATCGGTACATTCTATAGAAAAGTTTTTATGATTCCAATATTTTAATGTTTTCCAACACTTATAACAGGTCACGTAATCGCTGACACTTTCGTAAAAAAAGCCGTCACAGGCTAACTGATAAGGACTCTGACGAAGTTTACATCCCCACTGAGCAAATGTTAGCCGTCGATCGGCACAGCTCGCCATGTGTAGGTGAACTGGGCGAGTAGTATCAGTGTCCATCTATAAGTAGAATGAATAGATACGTTGCTAATATTCTTTCCTGTAGTGTTACTTTATGTTTGTCTACAGTAAGTTCACCATTACATCTAAGTATCTTTCGGATGCTCTTTCAATATGTGTTTCACTAGTCGTTTCTCAGCTCTGTCAGAGTAGTTTACACGATAACACACACAGATGGGATAAATGTATCTATGACGTCTCTCGTATTCTTCAACGATTACGGAAATCTGATCACTATCAACGTCAATTTCTACATACTGATCATCGCTTATAATGTATTTTACGTCTACTGTCTGTTAGTTAGATGAATAGGTATGCTTGAACTTCACCGATTTTCTTCCCGTATTTCTTTATCTTTTCGCTATAGCTTTGTTTCACGTAGTTCTCGTCCCTCAAACGTTCGTCTTGCATCAGAAGTTGTAATGTGTCTGAAGGTACACAGGATTGAATGGCAACCTCGCGCCAAGTCTTTTCCACTTCCAAATGATTTGTGACGGTTAATGCTTCGTCAAAATGTAAGTCTATAACAACAGCGCCGGAATACATCAGACATTCATGTTCATGTTGACTAGCTCGACGATTCTCGCAACCTGAAAATACGAATAGTTCCGTTATTTTAGATTTTACAATATATGCATAAGAGAGACACAGCAGATTTTTCAGTAGTCTCCGAAAGGCTTTTTCTTCCGTTTTTTTAATCAAGTAGTTCTGCAGCCTTTTATCTAGCAGGTCTGTGTTTAATTACATTATAACACATGTATGTATTGGCATGATAACGTTACTCTAAATATTTAAATGACGAACATCATCTGTTGAAACAGACAGTCTTTTGACCATCTCATATGCTCCGTTTTGATGTCGTCAAAATAGTTCCATTTTTTCAGGGTGATACCACACATGAAACACGAAACGCGATCTTCGATACCGGTATAGAAAAATCCGTTACTGGCGAGTCGATATGGAGATTGATGGTGATGATTTGGCCAATTAGTAAATGTATCCACACGGTTACACCATTTGTTTAATGATGGATGATGTGGACATATTATAGCCGTATCATAAGACGTTCTGCCGCAAACGCTGTCTGTGACGTTATCCATTATAAAGTTAACGTTCTATAAATGCACAGATATACCACAAACTTTCCGATAGAGTTAAAAGTTTCTTTAAATATTCTCCCGATATTCTCGTTTTCTTTCCTTCATCCACAAGACAAATTCTAAGCTCACCTTTAAATTTTCTGATAATGACTTCCTGTGTAAGACTGAGGCGGCAGATGACTCTGTTAGGTGAAATGTCTGTTATACTGATGTCTTCTTTCTTGATCTGATCTATTTGTGCTTGAGCCATTGAATGTGTCGAAAATTCTCCTCACTCACTATATATATACTCCTAACCGATAGGGACTGACAGAGACCGACAGGGGGGCTGACAGGGACTGTTTCATACCTGTAGGACTGACAGGGGGACTGACAGGGACTGACAGGGACTGAAAGGGACTGACAGGGACTGTTTTATACCTGTAAAATACATCTACTAAAAGATATGAAAATTCATATCTTGTTGTCAGGCTCTTGTCGGCCATCGTACAATTGCTAGGAACTGAAGCGAAATACCTTCGTGTTACTATCAGATATGAAATGGTAGTCCCATTATTAGGAAAGCCAGCACCAACTTGGGTTTCTTGAGCGAAACCTAAAAGTACAATCTGCTGACATAAAAGAAAAGGCATATACACAATGTCAGTCCTTAGTTCGTCCAATGAAGTATGCTAGTTCAGTCTAGGGCACATCTCTGAAATTTCAGTGCATGAGTAACTGTTTGTTCGCGAGCAAGCAGTGTAATAGCAGGTGTTGCATTCTGGGTTTTTTTCGGTACAAAACTTTAAAAAAAAAGTTCATGACATCAAATTCTCATGACGTCACGCTTGTTGTTTTCAAATATCTAATTGGATAATACTTTTGGATAAAGCTTTAACTGTCTTCTGGGTTAAATTGTCAATCGTAGCTCCTTTTTTTTAATAATAATATAAACTGTTTTAGTATCTGGTTGGGTATACTTGTCACAGAAGTTACAGCATCTTGAGTCTGCCCCAACTCTGTTTTTTTGTTTTTGTTTTCACATATTCGTTTTATACGAATCAATTATATATATATATATCGTATATAACGGGACTTGCAGATCGTAGAAAGGAGCTCTACAAAATATGCCAAAGTACACGTCTGGTCCACACGGCTTGACAATCAAAGCACACGTCTGGTCCACACGGCTTGACAATCAAAGCACACGTCTAGTCCACACGGCTTGACAATCAAAGCACACGTCTGGTCCACACGGCTTGACAATCAAAGCACTCGTCTGGTCCACACGGCTTGACAATCAAAGCACTCACATCAAAATTCTTTCCAAACCACGTCTTGCGGAACGTCCATGAGGAATGAATCTTTCTTTCCCCGGAAAATCAATTATTAGAATAACTATCCCCTGAAATGATATCAGCATATACTCTATCCACTTTCAAATCAGCAATCTCCGTCTTTCATCCATGCCACAACACACATGGTAAGAGTTATGTGCCTTTTCTATATGTCTGTATTGTATTTGTGAAGCATTGTGTTAAGTGTAATCTTTTGTTATTGTTCACATAGTTTAGAAAATGTTGAACCATGTTTGTGACAGTGCTGTGGAAATAAATATGAATCGATAAAGAAGTCTTGGTTGTTTGTAAAACCACCCCGCTACAGATAACTATCTGGCGTAGTGACAGACACATTCAGAGATAGGTAAGATTAGTACCTCCTGAACAGTATTCATTTGTCCAATGGTAAGCAAAGCAGAGGTGATCTCAGTCATCTCAACAACTGTCCAACAGTGGAAATGAACTCGAAGCAATTACACAGGATACCATAACCGAAACATATCTATTCAGGAATGCGTGAAACAGTGTGATAGAAAGATGTGGAGTCAGTCCCGTATGTGCTGAAGAGGTAAATAAAAAGCATGTTTGTACTTAAATAACCATGTAGTTAACTTTGTGTAACATTTACTATGGTAAATAGTATCGATAGCAAGACTAAATAAATCACAATATATATAGTAGCTATATCAACATATAGCTTAAAAGAATTTTTAAACTAAAATTGTTTTGCTTTTGTTTCCTTTTTTAAACCAAAAAAATACTTTTAAGTCAATTATGAAATCCGTTATTTCAGGATGGGAAAATAATTTCCGAAGACTAATTTATATGTATAGGAAATGATAAAAAAAAAAAATAAAATAAAAAAAAAGAAACAAAACGAAAAAAAACACCGAAAAATAAATAATGTTGCTTTAAGTTTGAAGTTTTAATACTAAATTGACGGAAATATTGGTAAAGAACAAACATAACTTTTTTTCTGGTGACTAGAACATATTAATCGAAACAATAGGGAAAACAATCGGGTCTTTTCGTTGTCATTGCCTTTTCCTGCAGTGTGACGGAAATATCGGAGTGGTTTTCGATGCGGCGTATTATCAGCATGTAAAGGGAGACAACACCTGTTAACGATTCTAGTTTTAACCCCTGCCTGTCGTATTTGGGCATAATAGTTAAAAATAACTCATTAAGAGGTATCCTGTATCATTCTGAAATATTTATATATAAAATTCAAAACAAAATAGATCAACATAAATAAACATTTCTCCGATAACAGTCGAAGCTTGTCAATAAAGCGTTTATATACACTGTATAGACAACTCTTCGTTCATGTGGGGATGTAGCTCAGTGGTAGAGCGTTCGCTTCGCATGTGAAAGGCCCGGGGTTCAATCCCCCGCATCTCCAGAATTTTGTTTCTGTTTTTTAGCTTATTTTTGTTTATTGTATCAAATTTTTGTGCGTTTCTTTTTTATTTAGGAAACTAAATAAAAATATCCTCACTAGATAATGATCCCACATAAATAACTTATTTGCATGTTCAAAATAATGCAAGTGGGTGGAGATTCCGTTGCTTTCTATTTATCTGCGTTTCATGTCCTCGCAACAGCCAGTGTCATATGTGACGACAGGAGCCGGGGAATTACTTGCCCATTGAAAATAACGTACGAAAAAATAATATTTATCAACATTTCCCATTTCACAAATACACCTTGCTATTCTTCTAGGAAGACATGATCCCCAATACCCCTTCAAATATAAAAAATAATATTCCGAGTGTAAAAACTAAGCGGGCTAGACTGGATATCGAACCCTGGATATCAGATTGTGATACTATCGCTCTAACAGGCTGAGCTAATTAGTCAACCATGCTACGGTTATATCCAAAATGAAGTTACTGTAGCCTGTAGGTATCATAATGTTTCGGCAGTT